AGGATATCAATTCTTAACTTCTGACTCATCCGACGATACCCAGCCAGACATTTAAATTTGGCCAGGCCAAAATTCGCACGAGATGGGATATTCGAGGTGATCGCCAGTTACTTGAGTCGTGGTTCATGGACGCCCAGTCTATGAACAGGAGTAATTACCAGCCAAGTCCACATTCGGTGCCGAAGCTCAATTTGGCCAAAATGTTTTCGTCCTTTTAATAGCACAGGCTTCATATTCTTTAAAGTCACACATGTCAACATGCCAACATGTCGAGCGTAGGTTCCATAACCTTGAGGAAGTAGCATAATGAATCTGGTTTCAACGAGATTAGAAGAGGTTGACCTTTTTTAGATAGAGTTTAAGCCTCAGAGCAAAACGTTGTATATTTAGGACTTAGAAAACGGAACTAAAATAGTAGCACATAAGGCACCTTACATCACTGGGCGGGAAAATGGCGGTGTCATTCTACAGAACACATTGTAAGTCGATCACCGAAGCACAAACGAAGCTACGCACACACGCTATCAGGGTAAAATATAATGTCTTTTGGCCGTAATGGCGATGCCGATCGATATTTTCGCTTCTATCTATCACTTGTAGCTACACAAAGATCAAACGCGATTACGCTGTTTGCACCCAAACATGCGCTTCAAAAATGTGTCGAAAATAATTACTGCGTCGATCTTCTGCATCACCTACAAGCTCCCTCTTACCACGGTGGGAGATGTTCAAACAATTTCCTTACCTTTTTGTGTCCCTGAACTTTGATTTGGGTAGCTTCGAGTTTTCCATTAACATCGTTTTTTAAAAACACCGGTAAACGTCATCACGTCGAGCTACAAGCACATAATAATGCCATGCGAACGCAATCTATCCGCGGCTGTCAAGAACAAATGACAAAGGTAACAGCGCAAACCCGCAGAGCTCATTGGCTTCTGTGACGTAATTTCACAAGTCCAACGCAGAAAATATCAGACAAGTTCAATTTTATGCTGATGGCGCCGTTAAGGCCCGATCAATATTTGGTGCGCAACAGGCCGAAGTTACATAAAGGGTGTGTTGACAGAAACAAAATAGTGAGATGGCCATTTATAACTTGTACCCGTCATCGTCGGCCCGCTATGCCCAACCCCAGATTTGTATGAAATAGAAGTCGGAAAAAAAATTATCGATGAGATCCCTCCCATTAATGGAGGTGGCCTTTCAATCCGTTTTCTTACTCTAACTCTGAGGTTAGCCCAAAGACTAGACTTAATCACAATCCAAACCATAGTTTAACCCTGAAAATAGCAGTAACCATAATCTGCGCCGCAGTTAACCCAAGGCCACATATATTACCGAGGGAAGGTCCTGGTTAGACATGAGCACAGGAACAAGCGGCCTCACGCCACACTCCACGGTGGCAATTATTCCTTTACGCAAGCTCAAATCAAAAACTTATCGACACGGAATTTGCTCTAAAGGCAACCTCATTAGATAGGTTGATGTTCCTCTCTACTTACTCTACAACAGAAACCCTAATAAAGGTCACCGTTACGGCATCATGACACTTGTCTCTGAGAAATCTCGTTCAAACCAGGAGTTGCTGCGATTGTTTTCGCTACGATGATGCACCTATTTTGGCTACTGTATAATTAACAATATTAGTCGACCAGTGCGAAATTTAGGCTCAATAACATATATATGTTGTGTTCTCCAATGTGATGTAAATCGAAATTTTGAAATGATTTCGATCACAAATGATTACATAAGCAGAACTGTAATTTGCATTATTATGCAGTATAATTCCAAAACACTTCAGTCACCACAAGGTGTCGGCGTTAGAACGGGTTTCCTCGCGGCCGCCTCCAAGAACTACACTCTAGTGGAAGGACTACTTATGAGTATGCAATTTCCCTATTGAATTACAACTGAACTGAAATTAAAGTAAATTCCCATTACAGGTGGACTTGGGGTCCCTGGCTACATACTGTATACATTCCGTTTAACGAAGATAAAACATTTCTCTACGCTATCAGGAAGATGTCATATGGTAGTCTGAAAATGTTGCAATGATGCAGACCATAGTGCATACAGTAGATTTTAAATCTGATGAAATATGAATATCAAAATTTGACTGGGGGATTTAACACACATTTGAGGTTGTTTATTTTGCTCATGGAGTTGACTTGAGGCGCTAAATATTGTTTACTAGAAAAGAGTTCAGGTCAGGTCAGTAAACTGGAGGCAAACAGGGGTGGAATTGGGCCAAATCCAAAATTTGTTGATATCCAAGACATTTCGTACGCTATTAAACGCCGCGTAAAAAAACTTGCACTACAAAAGAACATTGATAAGGACGAGAAATGTTTTAATTACATGTGTTCATAGAACAAACAATTTTGTTTTGTGTTCATGAAATTGAGGTAAGTGTTATTGTGAGAAAACAAATTATTGTCGGGAAAAGAAGAGCGGAGTCAATTTACAACAGTTTGTCCTGCCAAAATAGAACCCATAATCAACCACGCAAAATGTCATCGGTTTTTTCTGTAACGCCGTAAACGAAATCCATTCAAACATCTTCAAAATATACAATAGAATCAATACATGTAAAAACTTGAAGCAAAACGGGCAGAAGGTTATAAGTCATCAAAATCCTCGTTGATATTATGCCACTCTGCTCTGCTTTTGTTATCTTACAATTGAGCCCAGAAGTAAACAGATCGACTGAAAATTGCTCCGCTGTACATAGAAAACGACGTTCTTTAATTTTCAGTAGAAGGCGTATCCCATTTTTAGGGAAGTAAAAAACTGGTCGACATTTTCCATTTTTATATTCACTCAATGTTCAAAAAGGTTAAGTACACAGGTATTCGACGCCGAAATACCTAATTAAAGCGCTTTTTAAAGAGGCAATTTGTTATATAAAATTTTCAATAATCTTAGGCGTATTCGTTCGCGACTTTTATTGTAGACGCTCATTTTTCTCGACAATGCGTTGACATGTTTGGGTGATTCTAAAACCATGACGCAAACAGACAGGCACATAAGAAAGAATGTTTAAAAACCTATGATTTAGGTTTATACTTGAAAGAAATATCTTATTTTAAAGTTGATGTCAAACACGCAAAACAAAATTGATATTTAGGAACAATCGAATAAAAGCACTGGAACACCTTAAATGTTTAGCAGAATTTCCAGAATATTCTTAAGCTGGTCGCATTCGAACTCTCGAAATAATTACGAAGGAATGTGACGGGAAGAAATTTCTTTCAACATGCTCAAGGTGGCGTGTTTCTCATTGCACATTACACATTGATTTAAATTTATTCGTCACGGACCGGGCTGTCCATATCTGAGCGTACAAAATACCTTACTCTCCTGACAACCTAATCAGCACCATCAAGCAAAAATCCGGTTAACATAGTTCAGCTTACCTCAAAAGATGTAGAAACAAAGAAAAAACTGGGTTTCGTGAAATCTTCTTCTTTTACGAACTGGAACTTTTGGCTGTTCGGTAACAGCCGTACTTTACATTAAGCGTCCGAAAATTAACAATGGGATTATTTTCAAACGTAATTCTACTTGTATTGCTTTATTCACCCGGTTTTTTGCATGAAAACACTATCTATACATTTAAGTTTTCTTAGGAGCTCCGATTCTTTACTTTTTGAAAGTTTCCGTTTATCTAAAAAAATACTGTTACTACATAATATCACTTGATTAAAGCTTAGAAGGTCTTCTTTTTATTAGGATGTTTACTTTTGTACACAAGGACCTGGGGAAACGTAGCTTGGGCTATTTTTGCGTACCAGGGATTTTCTTAAAAAATCCCTTGGTACTTTACGAATGGACATTTGACGGTCTTAGAAATATCAGCATTCGCTTTTTAAACAGAACAGACCTTTTCCCAAGCATTAAATGTATAAGTGCAACTCGCTATCAAATATCTGCAAAAATGATATTTTCTCATGTTTTCTTTAAACTATATTTAAATTCAAAGAGGTACAGAATATCAATAATGGGAAGCCATACAACCTCAAACGGCCGACAAGAAACCTGTTCAAAAGCTGGGATCCTGAGGTGACTGAAATATCTCAGGACTGCTCTGCATCATAATTGATCTTAAAAAGTACTAAACTAATCTTTCCGAAGCGATAACGCATTTCAGAATTTCGGTTAACATTTAATGAGATAGCACATCCACTGTTCCAGTGGTTTAAATCAAATGCCTTCAAACAGCATTATGACCCTGCGAATCTTGCAGACAAACGCCAGCTGACATGCGAAACCAGAACTTGGTTAGGGCGTAGTGAATGAGCTGGTGCCCCTTTTGGAAGCAGGCTCCCGCCGAACAAGATTCTCCACCAGCCAGTACAACTTACCAAAATATACTCATTTCCTTGACTATCTATTCCATGTCTGATGCATCTTACTTGAGAAAAGAATACACTACTCACAGCTGTCGAACACTTTGAAGGCTAATGGAATTTCTACCTCCTCGTCAACAACTGTCCAAAACTGTAGAACACGGACACCAGAAACCTCCGTCAGGCTCGCGGATGGCATGCACAACGGTATTGAACAGCCGAGCATCGAAGGCTACCGACACCTCACACTAAACACCGATATCCGATATGTAGCTTATTGACTTTGTGTATTGCTCGGTCAACTAAATAACCTTAAATACCATCCTCTCACCTACTTTAACAAGGTTTGATCTACTCTTACTGACAGGTCGTCGTATCTATTGGACAAAATCAAAAAAAGGCCTCGTGCGGGTAAAGCTAAATTTGTTCGCGGCACGGGTTTTTGGAAAAGAGTGTGATACAGCTGATCATGTTTTCGTGGGTTGTGAAGGCTAAAGGCCAAATGCTAGCAATCGCTAGTAAAAGAAGCGCTAGTTGTTCTCTTCCATGGAAAATAAATAGCTCGCAAAGAGGGCCAACATTGGAGGAATGTCTTCCAAAACACTTCGTTTCTCCACAAGACCACCTGAAAAACTCGGTTCATTTCTTGACAGATATAAAACGGACCCTGTCTCAAGAAACCCCAGGTAAATGAAAAAAATCTCCACCCGACGGATTATACAAGCGAAATGTTTTCTCCTTAAAGCAAATGACTTTGATTTCACATTTTTGGTCGCAGTTTCTCTGTAGCAGTACAGTATAGCATCGAAGGAGAACAGAACACTCCAGTTACAGTACAAATTTTTGAAGCGATTTTTTTACTAACTGCTATCCTGTTGACACTGGTATTATAAGACTAACAGAATTTCTCCTGGTCATATAAAAAACTTTGAGACCCCAAGAGGAACTGTCCTACAAACTAGGTCTACGTGAAAGACTAAAGGATGCAAACGTCCTAATAAAACGTGAGATTCCCAGGCTGAGCGACCTTTTTCGTTAGTCAGCTTTTTACTTCTAAATCTTCGTTTCCACTTTCCTCGGATGAAATTTGGAAGTCTTAAGCGTTTCACTGGTCAACGCAATAGACTAGCACATGTTGAT